GTGTGTGTGTGTGTTTGTGTGTGTATATATGTTTAAGTTTATTTGTAAATTTATATTTATGTTTGTGTATTCCTATATATATATGTACATTTATATACATATATATATATATATACAATTACATATACATATACATATACATATATAGGCATATATAAAGATAGGCATACATGTATATGTATTATATACATATATATATATATATATATATACATATATTCGTGTATTTTTCCTTGTATTCGTAGTTCAAGGTCGTTCTGCTGCCTATAGTACCGTTCAATCTGAACACTACAGGGTCTTTTTCCAAAGGAAATTATGTGTAGAATTTAATGGAGATGAAATGAAGAACGAACGTTCCTTTCAGCGTATCTACATATATCTACATATGAGCAAGAGCCATCAACTGGGACGTTGCTTTTTCCGATATACCACATATTATGAGTCATCGAATAGCGTCCCAATTATCTGTGTGTGTTCTTGACTACATTTAGTGTCCAATGGAAAGATGTTCACGGACCTTTCAGACATGACCTAAATACGGGGCTGTTGGCCTACTGCTCGCTCGTTCTCAAGACAATGAACGACACCTTCGACCCCTACGGAGTGCTAACTGAACCGATAGTGAAATTGGTATGTCCGAGAACTAAGCAAATCAATCAATTGGAGAAATAAAAATCTAGTTACACAGTTTGAATGGCCATTGTGAGATTAAAAAAAACTAGATAAATCATCTGCGTTTGTTTGACGCCTTAGCTATCCCACCACGATTTACATTATGAGTTTGTTTTGCGATGCTTTCCCCACTCCCACGGTGCATCTCAACGAGCGTTGTTATCCTATTCTATATGGTATCGATCCGGCAGGACTGCAGCATGCCGAAGGCAACCCTCCACCATTCCAGGGAGTCATTCAGTGCAAATATCCAGTAATTATTTTTCACGTAAGACAATATTCCTCGTCCTGCTGTATTTGTATAGTTCTACTCAATGTTCCTCGTCCTGCGGTATCTATGTATTTATACTTCACACATGATAATGTTTCTTGTCCTGCTGTATGTATGTGGTTAAACTTAACAAGACAATGTTCCTCGCCCTGCTGTACTTATGTAATTGTACTTCACACAATGGCAATGTTTCTCGTCCTGCTTCGATACCACGAATAGTTGACGCAAAAATGATATAAACATCACCCTAGGTTGCTAACGGATTTGAGGCTGCTGGCCTAGATCATACAACACCCCGGCAGTTTGTGGAGGCATTCAAGGCATGTTCTGCCTGTCAATGGAAGTATCCTTTCAGATGTTGCGCATATTTAGTCGCTATTATGTAACCGTATGTGCCGTGCTTAGTACGATTCCTTGCCGTTTCTTGATAGGCGTTTAATTTGCCCTGTAACACTTAGCCAAGTGCTCAAAGTTTGGTTTCGTGAACAAACGCGTGCGCAAGTCACGGATATATTCGGTTTAGCGTATTTATTCTTTTCCTTATGTCTGAGGATATATCAAAAGCATTCAATCATTCGGCAAGTCCGGTTAGTTGGGGTCTAGCTTGATTAATATAACTTCTTGTGAAGATGAACAGGCAATCACTTCGCAGTCTGCAGCCCCACAGTGAGAAGATGCGTATGCACAGTTGGCATTATATTGGGCATGAAAAAGTATAGTATCAAACGAGTGAGAGTCTAGTATAGCACAGCTGTATACAATCTTGATGCTTTCATACAGGTATTGATCCTTATTTACATCATCTATTTCAGCACACCGTATAGGCAGCGAAATATAAATTACTATCTGACTAGGCGTATCATCAAAGTGGAAACCTCTGTTTACTTACAGCCTGACGGCTTTCGTTTGTCGACAGTAGTAACTGAGTGACATCACTTTATACCCATTATGATGTGTAATAGGAGAAGGTAGCGCGGTCGTACCGTCTATTTGTATGATTACGAATGACAGACCACCGCCAACTGCATATCTCGCTTGTCAGAAGCGTGTCAGATGGCCGCAAAAAAGTGCAAGGGTTAGTCTGTCCCGTCAAATTATTGTACGGATGAATTGGTGTATGGCGCAAACGGTCCGAGTTGGTATGGAATATGTGTATTGTGTGTATTGCAAACTCTAACCCCCTTTCTGTCTACCTATCCTGTGCCACTCCCAACCACAGGTCTTCGTTTTAGTGAACGCATTCACAACTGTATCATGGATCGCTATTAAATATCTCCTAGATCGGCTCTGGCCTTCGTTCAAGGTATGCCTTTCGCCTTGCTTAGTCCATCATGCAATCTATCACGTCTTTCACCAAATATTTTTATGGTCAATGTCACCCATTCTATGGTCAATGTCATCCACTACATATGTGTACTATCACATAAGGTTATATTTGATGAATTAGCCCTGTCCGAAGTGACATACGAATGAATCTATGGGGACTTGCTCGTGTGCATTCGCTTCTCGCTTACAAATTGCCCATTGACATCATTGCTGGCAGAAGGTTTTTCTTACCTGTACACACCTAAGCAGCATGAAATTAATTTCTCCCTCATGTCCTGTCCCAAAAATCAACTCCGTCTCTCGCTTTGTTCCATGTCACAACCCATATCAGGCTATCAATCCCCCACACAAGAAATGGTATGTGGTGGCGAATATCTCCAAGGCATGCTGCTTAGGCGTGACGGTGGTCAGGTAAATATACAATTACAGTGTTTGTATGTTCGTACGTATATTTGTTGGTAAGTTCCGGGTTGTTTGTCGTGACAGCTTAACTTGCATTCCCGGAGATCAAGTGCAATTGTCCATCCACTGCCTTATGCGCCACTGCATCCGTATATCTCATACATGTTCATGGTACATCCTCTCATTCGCTCATAAAATTTACACTTCATTACACCTCGCAGTTGCTCGTGGTGGTATTATGCCTACCACGCCTACATTGTACAGGAACGAGATTTATCAGCTACTGTCATGTACCTGGTCAAGTTCAGTGGTGCGACGTATGTCACTACAGATTTTGTAGCATTGTATATGGTCCCGAAGCTCCCTCAGTCTACCAAGGTAAAATAGTGTATATGTGAGCATTTATATATATATATATATA